GTTTATATTTACGTGCGCCGCATTTCAACGACCCTCCATAAATCAAGTAAAAAATTAAAGGAAATGTCAAACAAAGGTATTGCTCAGTGTATTCGAGCTCAATTCTTGTGCCTTTGCTCTTAATAATCTTCTTTGTCAAGTTTTGAGTTGACCCCAACACACATGATGGGAATAAATATGCGGCTACTACTTCTAGTAATAAAATATTAATTAAATTCTATGCGGCCGGCATAAGTGTGCATTATTTTTGAAGCTTTGAGCGAAGGGCTTTATGATAGCGTTGTAAGCTGGAAAAATTAAACAAACTTTGGTAAAGTTTCAAAAATACTTAAAGAGCAGCCAAACTTAAAGCAGGCAAGCATCAAGTGGATGTCAGATGCCAGATGTCAAATTGCTGATAGGTGTCAGATTTCAAATATCTGACAAATGTCAGATGTCAAATGGCTATCAGATTCCAGATTTCAAATGGCTGTCAAATCCCAGATGTCAAATGAATGACACATGGCAGACGTGAAATAAATTTTATATCTATGACAGGTGGTAAATTGATTAAAGTTGGCAGATATCAGATACCTAACATATTGCAGACTTCAAATATCAAAAGGAAATTAGACGACAAATATCAAACGAATGTCAGCTGCAAAATGTAAAGTATTTGTCAGGTAAATCGCAAATTGCTGTCAGATAATAGCTGTCAAAGTGATTTCACATCTTTTTAAGTTAGTATATGTATTACTTATGTCAAACGGAAATTAGAAGCCAAATATAAAATAGGTGACAAATGTCAAACAGATATCACCCAACGTCTGTCACATTAATGTCACTTGGAATTTGAMAAATTTAGCGATGTTGAATACAAAATGGATATCAGATGTCAAATAGTAACTGACAAATATAAGTAAGATTCAATTTTCAATTGACAATTGGCTAATTAGACTAGTTTAGCAACTATAAAAAATGGTAAAAAGTTAAAAAAAAATTAATAGCAGTAGATTCAAACCGTGACAAAATGAAAGATGAAATATCAAAAATTAAAAAAAGAATAATTTGCCGACGTTATAAAGTCGTTTAAGTTGCCAAATACACACTGCTCCAAATGGCAGCGATTTCAAGCTCGAGCGACTGTYTATAGTTAATACAATGAAGTGGTACACCGACGGCTCTTTGCTATAAGTCGGTACGTAGATTTAAACCTACAACGTAATTATCGCCATGAACATATAGCYATACTAAGCGATAATCAAGCGGCATTCGAAGCGATCTCTGCAGACGAGAGCATTTCGCTATTGGTGCAGAAGTATATAAAACGACTGAATAGTCTCCCAGATCGTAAACAAATGCACCTTATTTTGAGAACCAGGTCACAAAGCCGGAAGGGAACTGACTAATGAGCTTGYCCACCCCGCAGCATCCGTTAACATGGTAGCACCGGAACCTTTCATTTCCGTTGGTCCCCACACCATAAAGGAGCTGCTCCRCAAGGATGAAGCAGTGGGTGGTCAGAAGTAWTAGTATCACCTCCTAGGCATGCGCCATGCCAAGTTTTTAATGGGTGATTACAACCGTAAGAGGTTTAAATATGTAATCAGCGACCCAAGGAAAAAACTCAGCCTACTTGTCGCCTTCTACATTGGACATTGTAAGCTCAAGAAACACTTACATATATAACATGAGTCGCCCTTCTTTCACAATTGACCGCACAGCAGTTGTAAGCACAGGATGAAGACCTTAGGATCCATGTTTCCATGTTTTTCTCTCTACATATTTGATATCACTCTATCAGGCCAATTTATTGTGGTAATCTGCTATTGAATTAGTCCACTATTTCTTCATCTCTCTTCATATAATGCTCATACAAGCCTTAGTATTTAAGATAGACTTCAATTGGAGACTATGAATTACGTGAACAATTCTATAATTTAAATACGAGATTACCACCGCCTTACTTAATGCAACCAAATTCTACATTTATCTAATCGCAAGCRCTCATTTGTCTTTGCCACAAAGCAGCCGACAAGTTACAACCACTCAAGCGTTACAATACAGATGTATATGTATAATACATACACCTGCCTACCTCGCTCAGCAACCAAGGCAGCCAGTTGGTGTGTAAGACCGCCAGTCACAATGGATTAGTGTCGGATGTGAGAAATTAACTTTGCAAACCAAAGGCAAAATTACGCTAAATGCAACTTAGCGCGTAAGTTTACAGTATACGCATCTGTGTGTGTGTGTGTGGTTGCATGCAAATGACRACACAGAGGATGCAAATGTGTAGGTGAGAAAATCCGTTTTAGTTTTTGCAATTAACATATTAAGCAAGAGATTAGCAGCCAGCCAGCCACGACTCATGCAGGTAGACATATATTAACAGCAAACAGGCAGCACACATAAACAAACACCCACACGCATGTGCGGCGAGAGTAATGGCTGTAAAATGGTTGCATGGTAGCCCCCAACAGATGTATGAGCATGTAATGAGAACTCGGCGCGGTCATATATGGTCAAATGTAAATATGCTCACGAGCGTGTGTCTGAGCAAGTTTTATTATACAGATATACATATGTGAGTGTGTTTGTGTTTGTAGCTGTGGGCACACAGTGCATCCTCAAGCTTTGCGGTTAGCATGCCACACAGACATCGACCGCTACTAGCTTGAGCCCAGRTGGTGGGCGCTTTTTGTAAAGTCTGGCACCTGTTTGCTGCGGCACACATACACAAGCGCACATACTTATTTATATATCCATATGCATGCTTGTATGTATGATATACTTTAATTTTCATATGCATCTAGCCTGCCCGCCCTTAGTGCTGTCGTACACCTGCTTATTAGCATGCAAATTACAAGGCCTAAGCGCTATTAGTCGTCCGTACTTAGTGGGCGTTTGCGCTGTATAAAAATTATGTAGCACAGTGTGCATATTTTACRTGTGTGCATTATAATTAACGCCAGTTTAAATATATATGACCTGCTTTTGRGCGGTTAAGCATTTGTTAGTTCGAAATTTATTTAAATTGTAAATTTGCTAAATTGAATAGTTGGCAGCCTACCTAAAGTGGTCRTAAGTGAAATGATGTCGTTAGTGGCTTACGTCGTGTGTTGTTTAAAGCTTAGCTTTCAGTTGGTTTATTAAGGATTATAAATAATT